CCTCTGCTGGCCTATGCTGGATTATTGATCTCCACCAATCCGCTCTTCTTTTCTACTCCTCTGCACTGCTGCTTTCTGCTGCAACACTGATCTCTCGTGCATCACTCTGGATTGCTCTACAGTGCATCACCCATCTGCACGGAGCCATTTGTCTCTGCTGTGCACAGCACCACTGCCTCCCTGCTCCACCTCTGTCTGCTCTCACACTAGGTATTTTTTTTTAAATATCAAACAAGTAATGTATGAAGCCAAGTCACATAGACAACACATGTCTCCTGAGATCCCCCATGCTCTCTCGTGCTGTCATCTCTCTCCCTTTCCTACCCCTACATGCTGCTGCGTTTGTCTTGTGTTATCTCTGTGAGCTCCTTGGGACAGAGACCCTCTCTGTTTATTCAGCCATGCGGCCTCTCCACACCCATGCTGCCAGCTAGATGATTAACAATCGGGGCTACAGAGCATGCTGCTGTAGTGAAAATACACATCAAATGGTGTGTCTGATGCAAAGAGCTGAGAATCCAAGGGTCTGGCCATGCGTTCCTTGTGTGCCCCAAAGTCCCATTGGCTTCAGGAGGAGCCTGAAGATAGTAGAGCCCTAGAGAAGCTCACAATGAAGTGCTAGTAGCACAGGTAGCAGTTGGTGCAATGGCATACGCAGGTCTCCCGGGACAGGTGGGGTTTCCAGCGGAGATCTGAAGGAGGACAGAAGGGTACTAGGAGAATATAGATAATGATCCCGTTCGTGGCGTAAGGGCCCACCTGGAAACAGGAGTGGGGGAAGGAGACAAAGGAGAGGAGTGAGCTTCGGCGGGTGCAGGGTGTAGGAAGTGATGAGCTCATCGAGGTAGGTAGGAATGGAGCTCTGCAGCATCAGGATGTGGAATATGCATTGGGATCATCCAGGGGTAAATAAAAAGCCGTGGTGTAATCTCCAAGGTGTGGGCCAGGATGGTACATTCTGGGATTTGGCTGCCTTTGATGACAGCAGCACATGCACAGGCTCTGGGACTGACGCACCCATACAGGGAGGGCAGCTGTGTTGGAATCTTTTGGTGACACTGCTGCTGGGATCATGCTAGGCAGTGAACACCTATTGGGCCTTAGCGGGACTGGGCCTTTAAGCAGTCAGGCCGCTTTGCTTAAGGTCTGAAAGGTGAGCTGCCCGGTGTGCAACAAATGAGCCCCATCTAGGTGGCAAAGTGCCAAAGACAGCATTGTCAAATAATGCAGGTCCTTCCAAGGAGGAGGCTGCAGGTGCCTGGCCCTGGGGCTGTATATGCCGCTGACTCATGGCCCTTGGATACTGTGCTGTGCCCACTGGGCCTTTGCTTCAGCTAAGAGGTGTGAGCAGTGCTCTTGGCCAATTACGCTCACACACCGTTCCCTTACCCCCTTTGGTGTGAATGCCAGAGTGTTGCACGCGCAGATGCTGCAGAAAACCGAATCCCGCTGTATTTGTCCTTCCACTTCTCCTGGGCTCCCTTGGCCTCCAGGAGCCAACTGTGGTGTCCAGATTGCACCAGAGCCGGGCTCCTTGTGGAATTCCACTGTCCAGGTGCTGAAATGACTTGCCAAGACAATAGCTTGTTCTCTCAGCCTCACCAGCAGCTCCCAAAGGCCCTGAGAAAAGCCTCTGGCAAATATAGTATAGCAAAAGGAACATAAAGTGATCTCTAAGTGAAATGCCCTGGGCCTGGGAGGAATCAGGATCCTGGTCTCTGCATTTAAGGCCCATCCCTGGGGCATGCACAATCCCAAGAGAGAAATATAGCAGTCCCCCGCACAGGGCCCTGGTTGTTGGTGTGCGTCACATGGAGCGTGGGCCTGACACACGCCAGAGGCTGGCAAACGTCATACAAATTCCTGGAGACACCCTGCTGCACCACGCCACCTCCTTCCTGCCCTGCCCTTCCAGTCCTGGCTCCCTAAGCTGAGGCTGCCAGTCGGATCAGACTTGGGCGCTGGTGTCGTGAAAAGGAGAGACCAAGTGGCACACGTTCCTTGGAAGCCTGATAGGGGGTTGTTGGCTGAAGTCAGTAGCCAGGAATTGGCTCTGCCCCCACTACTTGAAATGGAGCTCCATGTAAACGACTAGAGTGGATGTCGCAGGAGACAGATGAAAGAGGGTCAGGGGCACTTCAGTGATATGGACCAGAATGGGGGTGGAGCCTGACTCCTGAAGGCACAGCCCAAGGACGTGGTTTCAGGCCTGTTCTCGCCTCTGACTCAGAAGAGCGCAGCTGGGCTCTGGGAGCTCCACTCTGCCCTTGCAGCCACGTCGATGATGACACAAGTGTAACCCCAGGCAGAAGGGACCAGGGCCAGCTTTGTGCTCTGCAAGTCCTCAAGCAAGGGGAGATCCCAACCTGCCAAAAGCTGGGGCCAGAACTGGCTTGCGAGTTTTCCACACTGGCCCCAACAGGAAGCATCATGCTTGGCTGCATCTGGAAGACCAGGGGAAGGCTGAATACCTGGGGAAGGGAGACTTGGTCTTCATCCTTCTGGTAACACAGCCAGAGGAGTGAGAGTCTGGCAGTGGCTGAGTTTCCTTCCCCTTGTGTCCAGCTGAAGGACACAAGGAGTATCATGCTGGCCCAGTGTGAAACCGGAATGGAGAATAAAGGCTGCAGCCTCCCAGGGCACCAGGCATCCCCTTGCTTTGTCTGGGCTGCAGCCCAGCTCTGCAAAGGGTTCAAAGCCCCAGATGACACTGGCATTGCTGCCTGAGCTTGAAGTCAGGGAATTTCTGCTTCCCCCTTCTTTGCTCTGGCCCTGAAATGTGGCATCCTCAGCTGAGCAGCTCATTACTTTGTGAAATGTGGCAGGGATCCAGCATCTGTGCCAGGGAGGGCAGCAGGAATCTGATGCTAGTGCACAGCTCTCCCAGCAGTGTGATCCACCTGCCCGCATGCTAATGCCACGATTCACACTGCCAGCCCCAGGTAGGGATAGGAGCCTCTCACTAATACACTAGTACCTGGATTCACACTCCCAACTATTGAGTATGGCATGAATCCGACACACCATGCACTGGTTCCAGGAGTCACTCTCCCAGCTACTGAGCACGGGATGGAGCATTCTGCTGGCTTTATTTTCATCCGCTAGAGCACCAACACACTAGCTTCCTGTAAAGATCCAAGGCGTCTTCTGTACTAGGTCATGTTCTCCGAATGCCAGAAAATCGACTTCCGAAGCAGGTCATGTTCTCACTACTGAGCCATGGCTCACGGATAAGGGCTGGGCAAAAAAAGTGCTTCAAAAACACCCTCAAAGCCAACACAAAGAAGTGCAATATTGACATAAACTCACAGGAAACCCAAGCTCTCGACGGACCAAAATGGAAAAGCACCTTGTGTCAAGGATTCCAGTATTTCGAGATCCAATGGAGACAACAGGAATCAGAGAAATGGCAAAGGAGGAAAGAACCTGCAGCCTGACTCAACAATCCAGATCTGCCCCTTCCCTTGGGAAATGTCTGCCCCAATTGTGATAAGATCTGTGGATCCCGAATCAGTCTCATTACCCACCTGCGGATCCACCAGCGATAACTGACTATCATTTTATGGAAGACAATCATCCTCAAACTCCAAGGGCTTGTCGACGAGGATAGTTAGGCAGAACTATAACTAGAGCTACCACTAGAGGGCACTCAGAACTCTGCATGCATCTCACTACCATTACACAGCCAGGGTGGATTCAGACAATCCTGGCTGGAATCCTCCATTGCTTCCTGGGGCATTACCCCAAAAGAAATTTTTCAGAAGCACTTGGGTTTTGTGATGGGGTGTTTAGAGCCCAGAGGTTGGCTGGGAAGGGATTAATCTCTCTCTCTCTCAGCCCTACCCCTCCAGAGGCAGCAACACAGTTCACTTCCCTGAGAACATAGTTTGATGGGTAGCAGGCTTAGGCTGGCTATGGGGTCTCCCACTCAGGGTGCTCTCTGGGGGCTGAGTCTGGCAGTGAGACTCCTGTGGGGATGGAGGCATCTTCAGAGAAAGGGCTGGGGCTGAAGTGAACCACTCTCTAGACCTGTGAGTTTTGTCTGGGGGAAACCTGGTTGTGTGTGTTTGGCCCTTCAAGGGGCGGGACATTCTTTACATATACTCTTCTGCCATACAGCACAAGCCAGAACAAAGGTATTAACACCTCCCCAAGGCTTGGGACCCTCCTGGCTTTGCCCAGCCTGCCACGCTCCCCAGTGAAGTGTTCCAGCATCCCCTCCCCAAAGGGAACTCAAGCATCTAACAGGCCCACTCCATTTCTAAATAATCTGATCTCCTAAGTGCCCTTGAACACAGCCATGAAACCCCCTGGGTGTGCCGTAGGGATGGACCTGAGCCAGCACTCCAGCTCTGAGCACCCCAAGCTTTGAGGGGGCACCCCAAATTCACATTGGGATCCAGAGTTGGCACATAGGATCCTACCTTTCTAATGTGCTGGACCAGAACCCTGGTGTTGCCTGCCCCATCCCCCTGCTGGGTTGACTTTGGTGATCTGAACTAAGCCCGTCCCAGATCCTATTTCAGTTTCAACCAAAAGGACATTTCCTGAAGCTTTCAACTTGGAATCAAATCTCCAAGGAACTTAGGGCTTCAGAAGTCCTGGACTATATTCAGAGCTGCTCTGAACCCATAGGTATCCCCTGGTCCTTGGCTTTTAACAAATGTGACCATTTCTCAACAAACGCCTCATACCGTAGTGCCCCAATTGGATCCTTTCAGCTGCCACCAGGGATGTACAACTGGCAAGTGCAGTTTGTCCAAAGTCCTTTAACTAGGCTTGTCAGAATTCAATTTTTTTAAAATCGATTTTATCAATAGTTATTTTAAATATTTTTTTCTGATATTTATCAATTTAAGTTTTCCCAGTTGCAGGAAATTATAGGGTGCTCAAACAATGGGGTGGGGGTTCAGAAGATAATTATTTAATGACAGTACACGCTGAGATTTGGAAAGTTAAAGCTTTATAACCATTAAAACTTAAATTGTCAACATCACATGTCAAAATATACAAAGTCAGTATCCTTAAATCAAACTCTAATAAGTTCTCAAGTAGCATTTTCTTTCTTTGCCTCTCTGTACATTGTGATTGCTATGAATGGAAATATCTTTTCTTAGTTTGAGGGTGTATGGTGAAATCGATGTTTACCAACATTTACCGATAAAAATTTACCTTTAACTGTGACTGACTCTCTGTCACCTAGGCAGATCTGCCGTCAGGTGCGGGAGATCTATCCCCAGTTCCATCTGGAATAGAGGCAGTAGGATATGGATATATAGGGAGCAACGTCCTTTGGGGACTCTCGTTCAGCAGTAGCTAAAGTGTTTTCTATTTGCAACTTTGCGGAGGTTTGTAACTCGTCTAAGGACCCCGGTGGCCAGTAGGGGGCGCCTTGGTTATGCATTATTCATTGCTCGGCAGTCCAAAGTCTCTCATTCATCTGAAAGAACAGTCTGCCAAGGAGATCTGGTACAAGCCATCAAAATATTTTGGCAGCTCTGCAAAGTGACAGTTTAAGTGAACACAGAGGGTGTTTAACCATTTAAGGGCTGAATAATGAGACAAGCACAAAGGAAGGATTTGTCGTTCCCCAGACTCAGCCAGCTCAGCGCAGTTATTAGACCAAATTGTCATCTTGCCACATCTGAGCTATATCCTTCTCCCCCGGCCCCACCAGCACCCCTGTGCTTTGTAGAGCACCAGAATCCAGCAGCAGCCACATTACATCACGCTGCAGGTACAGGAGCCACTGCTGCCTACACACCCTGCTTCTGCAGAGCCTGGTTATATAAGGTTTAATTACAATACATGGCTCTTGTGTAGTGCTTTCTAGCTGAAGATCTCAAAGTGCTTTCTAAGCACTAAGCAAGCCACAAACGCCCTCTCCCCACCTTGTGTGGGAGGGTTTGTTACACTTTTTTTTTTTACAGTTGCAGGAAACTTAGGTACGGGGAGAAAGGATTTGTCCAAGGTCACACAGCGAGTCAGTGGCAGAGCCAGGAATATAATCCAGGGAGCTTCTTGATTTATTCTTTGCTTTTACTGCTAGGCCACACTACCCTTCCAGAGAAACCGCTGTGCATGGAATCTGTTGGGATATGGTGATCAAACTGGCCATTGTGTTGATCCAAAGTAAGATCCCCCAGTGATCTGCATGTTCATGGCAGAGCAGGCTCCTTTTGGGAGCTGCTTGCCAGTCCCTGTACAGGCAGTGCTGGGGCAAGCCTGCCCATTGCCAGAGTTGGTTTCTCTTTATTTATTTTTATGAACTGCAGGTGCAGAGGGAGCAGGTCCTCAGCTCAAGGTCTCGGCATCCAAGGCTGGGGGAGCCAGTTTGGCTGCAGCGTGTTCATGTCTTGGAAAGTGCCATGCTCCAGCACCTCCTTCTCTTCCTCCGCCCCCTGCAAAAGGTCAAGGAAATGAATGGGACAGCGAGATGTGCGATCTTGGAAATTTTTAGCAAGCCGTTGGTTTTTACATTGCAGATTTCACTCTGTGTGCACGGCTGTTAATATCAGCAAGACATTAGCTCTGAAAAGCACCCGTCACACTAAAAGGGCTCCGTCAAACTGGCTTGCCGTGAATTACTGGGCTCAAGCTTCCTTTATTAGCCTGGTATTTGTACAGCAGGAAAATCAACCTCAGGCCCCCACCAAAGACAAAACCTCGTAGCAAAAAGAACTTTACCTCCAGAAGAGCTGATGGCTACTCCAGAATCTGGGGTAGAGGGGAAATGAGAGATCACTCTTAGTAGGGAAGCTTCTATCTTGAGAGACCACCCCAAAGTCATCCTATTCTGCTCCATCTGTATTAAAATTCCCATCTCTATGGAGCACAATTTTTTGTGTCATTCCTCGAACTGTCACTTAGGACCAGTTACTTTATTTAGGTAGATTTTTGTCTCAGGAAAGGGATGGGCTCTCTGTGTGCTGGGGGGAGACCGAATCCCCAGATCCCAGCAGGTCTGCGGTTACGTGTTGGACTCAGGGTCACAATTTGACTCAGATTTCGTTTCATTTGCACAAAGACTCGTTGACGCCCGGGCCTAATGAACATCAATATTCTTAATGACAAGGAAAAGATCTGTTTTATGGGACTCCAGACAGGCAGCGAGTCTCTGTGCTCCTATGTTCCTGCAGAATCGCAGGAAAGTAGCCCCTGTCTCTCACATGTCCGGGCTTCCGTCCTTGCAAAGTTCGGACCCTGAGTCTTAGAAAAGGCTCTCCAAAAGAGAGCCCCTTCTATGGAAACCTCTGTCAAAGTTTTGCAGACTATCTGCTTTGCTGTCCTCCCAGTCTTGCTTTTGTGTTTCCAATAAGCAAATCCAATCACACATTCTTCCTTTATAGTGTTGATTAGACTGCTATTTTTCCTACTATAAGATTAATAAAATCATGGTTAAATTTTGAGGGGGGGTTAGTTGTTTTTTCTTGTTTACCAAAACTAAAAATGCAAAGAGAAGTGAGATTAAAAAAAAAAATTGTAGCAACCCAAGTTTAAGATTCAAAGGGCTGCATTTGTCAATTTCACTTGGACTTTTTGGTTTGTTTTGGGTTTAGGGGTTTTATTTATTTATTTATTAAAAAAAAATTTTCCATATAATTTTGCATTTCTCCCCTCCGCCTTTTGCATCTTTGGCTACCAGATGTGTCCCACACTGAAGAATTATTTCTCCTCCCTAGAGTGAAATAAATGCAATCAATATGAGTATTGCTCTCAGGGCCTTGAAATATTACATTAATGTTCCATGTGGTGACATTTTAGCTGGAATTTTCAAATACATTATGATGGTTCAAATTAATATTTATCAGATCAGCTTTTATATTTTGCAAAAGAGAGAGGGAGAGAGAGAGAGAGAGTAAGCATTATTAAAATACAAAATGCAGATGAATTCCAAAATCGATGGTCCATTTTACCAGCACTTTCAAGGAGCTGTGTTTTGCTTTCTGGTTTTGTTTTTAAATTTATTAGTTTTACAGGCAAATCTATTTATCTTCTTTCATTTTTGTTCACCCTTTCAGTATTTTCCAGTTGTTTCTTTATTCCACCCCTCTTTATTATCCCAAAATGTAAATTATGACGTTAGCTGGAGTTTTTAAATATTTTTTCTTTTCAATGATTAAATCTGCTACATGACATCTTTGTCCTTTCTATAAATTAAATCATCTTTGCTTTCCACCTTTAGCCACTGCCAGCAGCAATACTCTGATTGCCAGCAATAAAAGTCCTCACTTTACGGTCTTTATTTCCTACACAAAGCAACCCCCTCCCCTCCCCCCCCCCCCCCCCCCCGTGCTTATGGTGCCTTTTTTTACTATGGGGGTGGTGGGACTTACTCCTGTTTTCAGTGTTTCTCCATAAACAAGGAATTTGTGGAAAGAGATTTTTTGGGCGGGGGGGCCGAAATCACATTCCACTTTATTTGAGTCATTCCTAACAGATTGTTCTATGAGGTGGAAAATCCAGGCAGATTAATGGTTTCATTTGTTTTGCCTTTTAAAATTTTTTTTTCTGATTCGGTGAAAATGCTTGAAAATACCTTTTCTAGACTAAACGCAGCTTTAAAGATTTGCAGATTACCAGCAGACCAGCTGAATTTTTTTGTGAAACAATACTACTTGCAAAATAACCCTTCCCTCCCCCACACATGAAAAAATTTAGGAACTGTCTAAGATCTTACAGCATTGTCTTGAAAGCCTGTGCAGTTCTTAGAGGAGAAATTTTGGAAGGGTTAATATTCCAATTTAGAACCAAACAGCACTTCCAAACTTTTCCAGCTTTTTTCTCTGTTTAAGATAGTTTTGCTGTAAAAAATATTTCATTGTTTGGTACACATTCACGTGGATATATATATATATACACACACACACACACACAGAGACAGAGACACATACACATTCTCTGAGTATATAGCTATACATACACAACACTGCCCTTCCTATTTTCCTTCAATGCTGATCTGGGCAAAAGAACGACAGGAAACTTAAAAAAGAAAAGGAGGAGGAATCGATTGTTCGACCCGCACTTGAACTCTCCTGAAAGAGATAAAGCAGAATTTTCAATAGGTCCCCTGCCCTTTTCACCAGGAGGGAAAGAGGAGAAGAAAAACAAGAGATATTTATATGACAGCAGCTGCTGAAAATAGCATTTCAGAGCAATAAAAAAAAAAGGCAAAAGAGAGTCAGTGGTAAAAAAGAAAAAGCTGAGAAACTCTTCTTTTTGTGCTCCCCAACTAGTGTATGAGTGGCTCATCCTGGAAATGCATGCATGCTTCCTATAGATCTGTTTGAAATTATAGTTGTCATTGAGAGTGAATTTATGCTTCTATTGATCTGCAAAAGGAAAATATTAAATGGTTTGGTTTTGATCTTTAGCTGACCTCAGGGTCAAGGGTAGCCTAAGATTAGTATTCATAGAATTCATCACCAAATTGTAGTCTGCATCCAGTTTATGCAAACATAGGGAAAACATCCAAAGATAAATACAAAGCAAAATGGCAAACAGTTCCTTCCCCACCTCCTCCCCCAAAAACCCAGACAATCAAAACAGGGAAATATATATACATGCACAAAACCAGAGAATCGTTCACAACGTACAAAGGGGAAAGAGAAACAAAATAGCTAGAGAAAAACACACACCCAATGAAACACACAGGAAAAAGACACAGGACCCAGAACAAATATAAATACTTACAGTAAAACATGCTCACACAACCATTGCAACACAAGTACAAAGAAACACACAGAGAAAAACACAAATATAAAGAGACATATGCACAAGTATCCTATATAGTGAAACACACAAAGAAATAATGTACCCACCAAATCTCACACAAAGAAAAACAGCAAGCCCAAACAAGGTGAACACATGCACAAAGTGAAGCGTACTCACAAACATAGTGAAACATGCTTATAACAAATGTACATGGCCCATACACAAACATTGTGAAACCCACTAATAGTGTAAAACTTGCTTGTTCTTAAACATAGTGGTACCCAAAGTTAGTGGAACATATAGGCTTAGTGAAACACACTCATGTACTAGTGAAGTACATGTGTGTAGTTGTGAAACTCCTTCATAAAGTGAAACCCACTCATTTCCAGATACAGGGAGGCATGCTCCTAAGCATAGCAGAATGCATTAAAAAAACCCTCTGACATAGTGAAACTGATTTACTCACGAAGATAGTGAAGTCCACCTACAAACACGGAGGTTCATGGCCACAGTGAAAACATTTCTGCCTCTTCACAGGCAAACCCACGGCCATATACAAACCAACATGTGCACCAAAGGATATATGCACAAGAGGGATGCACTCAGGACTCACCATTCAAACCCATCTCTGTCCCCAATGGCAGAAGTGTTTGACTGGTAATGTTCACTTGCTAAAAATAAACACCAATTGCCTCATTGCAATGGGAAGGCACCTGTGACCTGCAGAGCCCTAGATGGAATTTGGACCGTGTTAAATACTTGGGTTCAAATCGGTGAGGGTGATCAAGACGTTTCCCAGACACACATCCCCTGTGTCATCAAACTCATGCACAGGGCCCTTATAAATGAGCAACAACAAAAAAAAGAGTGCAAACCAAAAAGTAGGTAGATTTTATGTATGGGGGGGGGGGGGGGGGGGGTAAGAAACATTTCTTCATAGAAAACCTTTTTTTATTCAACCTGTTTTCATGGAACATTTTCATTTTGGCTGAAATTCTCTTGTTTTGTTTTGGTTGCTTAAAAAACTGAAAAAAATTCATAGGAAAAGTATTTTTTAATTTCTCTTTAAAAATCATTGGCGTTTTTGACCAGCTCTAAGCTTTACACATGCTTCATTTCTATTGGATAGTCTCTGCTATACACCTCTACCTCGATATAACGCTGTCCTCGGGAGCCAAAAAATCGTACCGCGTTATAGGTGAAACGGCGTTATATCGAAGTTGCTTTGATCCGCCGGAGTGCGCCGCCCCGCCCCCCCGGAGCACTGCTTTACTGTGTTATATCAGAATTCATGTTATATCGGGTCGTGTTATACCTGGGTAGAGGTGTAATTGTTGTTTATATCACAATATACAGGCCCCAACAAGATCAAGGACCCATTGTGCCATGCCCAATATGAACACATTGTAAGAGGCAGTCCTTGCCCTGGGGAGCTTACAGTTGAGCTAGACCAGACAGAGAAAGGGAGCATTATTATCACCATTTTACAGAGGGGAAACCGAGGCACGGAAAGATGAAATGACTTGCCCAAGATCACCCAGGGCGTCTGTGGCAAATTGAACCCACATCTCCTGAGTCCCACTCCAGTGCTTTAATCACCAGATCATCCTTCCTTTCAAGTTAAATACTCTCTGGCATGGATTTATATTGCTGATCATTTGTATCTGTAAAGTCCCAACAAAGAACATAGCACTGGTTCTGAGCAGTTTACAATCTAAGCCAATGGACCTAATAAACCACACCCCATATGCCCTCTCTGCTGAAGATTCTGTCTTAGGTCTTGTCTACACTAGAAGGAGTTTGCCTGTATCCTAGTGGAGATGCAGCATATACCAGCAAACCGTGCTTTTGCCAATGTAGTTTATACCATTCCCTGAATGAAATAAGCTATACCGGGAAAAGCTAATTTTTGCTTATATAACTGTGTCTACCCTAGGGCTTTTGTCGGCCTAGCTATGTCGGTTAAGGTGTGTAGACTAAGCATTAAAGCATCTTTGTATGGGCAGTGACCGCATTATGGACCTGCACCGGCACTCCGGGTTGTAAGAGAGGAAGGCGTGGCGTAGGTTGGTGAATAAACAGCAAGGGAGAGAATGCCAGAGCTGGAAGGAGTTGTGAAGTTGGGAGTGTGAGATGGAGATGGAGGGAGAGGTGCAGTGATATTTACTGATGCAATGGAGAGGGGAAGGAATGACTGCAGAGATGTAAATACAGTTTGTTTGAAATGGGGCCGATTCTGTGTAGGTCATACAAAGGGCATCCCCTGAACCACCTGGAGTCACTGGGGCAGTGGGTGTTGAAGGCATGCAGGACAGGTCCGTACACAAGGAGCGATCTGTTGTGTCTCCCTGATGGTAAGGAGGAACCAGGCCGTAGTTATTATGGGGATGCTTTATTGAGGCTGCAGGATACAGAGCCTGTGGTTCTCTCTGGCTCTGCAAGGTCTTTGGAGAGGAGCACTATGTTTTTCCTACCTCCAGAGTGCTGGGGAGATTATATATTCTATTGCAGCATTCCCAGTATCTCCTCTCCATAGTGAAAAAGGGCCGTTTTGTGGATCAGGTGTACCCAAGCTGGCTCCTTCCTTGGCACGACCTCATCAGCGTTGGTTTTAGAGATGCTGCTTCTGTTCAGTCAGACACCGCGGGGGCTGGAAGGTTGACGGGGAGAACGAGAGAGGCCTGGACTTGGCATTTTTAACCCACCTTGTGCTGGCAGGAGCCTGGACCTCAGTGAGCAGTCTCATTTTCTCTCCTCAGGCTTCTGCCAGGCCTGCAGGACAGGGAGATCCCGTAGGACCTGATCCACGCCCCTTGAAGCAAGGAGGAAGATTCCTACAGACTTCAGTGGGCTTTGGATCAGCCTCCTAGTAAGCAGAGTTAAGTGCAGATGTGCAAAAACAGAAAGCCTTTAATTCACAAAACACAGGGATCCGAAACAGGCTAATGAGCCATGCCAGGGATTCAGTCCGGCTGCAGCCTTGCACTTTCAGACTAAGCTGGAGCCTGCATTCACGGTGAGCACGGTGGGCTCTTGTTCCAGGAGAGCTCTCTTGCTGTGTATATCTCACTAGTCTGGTGTCCTCTGGCACCGCTTTATTTCAGCTCTTAACAGGTCTCACCTAGGGAGATTTTCAGGTCCGTGCGGGATGGGGTTAGGGAGGATTTCCCTGTCCCGTGCAAACCAACCACAGCAGTTGACTTCTTGCTATGGTTGAAGCCTGCACAGATCCCCTGCCCACAGCCCAAGGACTTGGCTGTGGTGGTGAAGTACAAATAACACTCGCGTGCGCTCAGCCCACTACAGCCCAAAGGGAGAGGGGAAGGGCAGGATTCAGAATTCCAAGAGACTGGTATGTGGTCATGGCACACTGGCACCAGTGACAGCACTGGCAGTTCAGTGTGTCTCTGGAGGGTGGGGGATGGTGAGGGGGCAGGGGACGGTTGAGAGAAGAAGACAGGGTCCGTCTGTTATTATGGAGAATGGTGTTCCACCCAGCTGCCTATCAGTTTGCTCAAAACCAGGGACGATTGCAGTGCTGAGTGGCCTGGTTAGAGACGGGAAAGACCCACTGAGTCATTGAGTCTTGTCTCCTGCAAGGGTGGGACACAAGCCTCCTGACACGGGACAGACTGCATATTTAATGGATGTTTGCAACAGGCCAAGAAGCAGTAACACAAGGCCTTGGTTTTGCTGCTGTCTGGGCTGCTGACTCACTGTGTAGGGTTCGGTCAAGACCCTTGGCCTTTTTGTGCCTGTTGGAGAAACCGGGGAACAGGCAGGAGTCTCAGTGGGTGAATCAAACGGCTCTCTGGGAGCTGAGTTTTGCTGGGGATTAGCCCTTGTGTTGCTGGGAGTGGCTGTAGCATGTTTAAAAGTGTGGGTTTCCGCGATAGCCTGGAACAGCTCGGGGGGGGGGGGACTGCTCAGTTTGTAAAGCGCCCAGCACTGAGGGGGCGGGGGGTGAGGTTTGGCGATACTTGGATGCTAATAGGAGTAGTCTGGATTGAGTCTTTCACTACAGTATTGAAAGAAGTCTCTCGCCTACTGTGTTGAAAGAAGGAGGGCATGCCCCGCCACTGATCCTCCCCTGGCTGTGTCAGACCTAGGGATTCAGTCATGTTTCCACCCCTCTGGAGGAGAGGGTACGGGGGAGTGTGAAAAAGGCACAGGGGCGGAGGAGGTGGGAGAGGCCTGCTGCTGTTGTTCCTGGTGCCCTGTTTACTCTCTATGACTCTTCGTAGACCTTTGAACTCCGCATTTTGGAGACCAGCTGGCACTGCATGCACCCTGTGGATGTCCATGGGCTATGGGGAGTTTGGCAGCACAGGTTAGCTAATCTGGGGAGGGGCTGGATCTCCTCCTAACTCCCCCTTTCCACGGGGTTTGAAGCTTCAGACATTCAGTGGAAACAACCTCCAGGGTCTGAAATACATCTGTGTGTGGGTCTTTTCTCCATTCACCGACCCACCCATCATGTTCATCCGGCTCTTCATCACTGACCCGTCCATCTACCAATCCACCCCCCAACCAGTCCCTGACTTACTGCCCATTCATCCACCTATTCATCTCCCCACCAGTCCACCATGCACACATTCATCCCTGTCAACACTGGAAGAGGTGTAGGTGCTTCGCTTTCCCCACGGAGTCAGTGCTGAACCTCTGCCTCCAGCAAGCTGGGAAGGGGCACTGTTCTATGGAGCACCTGTCTTTGGAACGGCATATAAAACTGTGGTCTTGTCAATTTGTTATCATTAAGATCCATGGCTCTCTGCCTCAAGAGTAACAGCTCTAATGTGTGTGTCTGGACCAACTTCCAAATGAGTGACGTTCTGCTGACCAAAAAGTCCCCTGCAGTTTCAGCTGGGTATGGAGTTCTCCTTCACTTCCTGTCCTAAACGGCTGTGTAGTGCCGCTGTGCACTTTTAAATAGCTGCTGTGGCTGGCTGAAGTGATTTTTGTATTTATAATGGTTTGTAAAGCACTTAAGGCTATCTCGGGATGGAAAGCACTATATAAATGTTCAGTAAGATGATGTTATTTATCCATGTAATCACCCATCACTTCCACCCAACCCTTGTCCCTCCCCATCCCATCCAATCTGCCATATTATGTACTCACGCATCCAGCCATGCACTCATCAATCCACCTTTACCCATACACACAAGCACTCAGGTACTAGGAGTGTGAGGACTAGACAGATAGATTAGATTAGATTAGATAAATGCTTCCAATCCACCCACTGGCTCTATTCATCTAACCCCATCCAGTCCCTATAGACATGTGGTAAGGTTTTCAAAATACCTGCATGACTTAGGATCCTGAGCCCCATTTTTAAAAGTGACTCAGGTACTTTGGAGCCCAAATCTCATTGAAAGTCAGCAGGACTCAGACTGGCAAAGGTAACATTTTCAAAAGTGCCTATGGAGCAGATTTTCAAAGGTATGCAGGTACATATGGGTGCAGATAGGCACCTCTTGGTATTTTCAGAAGTCCCTAAGTGAGGTAGGTACCTAAGTCCCATTGATTTCAGTGGGACTATGAACTTTTGAAAATCTTATCTGCATCTTTA